CCTTCTTCCTGTTTCCCCAATTCTCCTCTCTCTTTGTCCCGCCTATACTTCCTGCCTGGTCACTGGCCATCAGTGTTTTATTTACATAGAGTAATATCCACAGCACATGGTCACACAATCCGTGCCTTAAAACCAGAATGCAGACCCCACCCTCTCTCTCTGCTGTCTCTCTGATCCCTGCTCTGCTCTGCTCCTGCCATCTTTCTCTCTCCCCAGGCCTGGCTCTCCTCTCTCCTATGCCCCTCCTTCCTTCCATAAAGCTCTCTGTAGAGCTGGTAGTCGTGGCCGTGGCTCGTGACTTTTCTGCCTGTAACCAGTGGCACCACAAGCACTGTTTATCATCCTTTCAGAAATAGTAATTAAAAATCTCATAACCAAAAAACCCAGTATCAGATAAATTTAGCATAGAATTCTACCAGACTTTCAAAGAAGAGTTAATTCCAATACTCTTCAAATTATTCCACTTGGCATGCAACACATGGTGGTCATTGCTGTATTTCAACTTTAGGGGTCACAATTCTCAAATGTCTTTTAATTCTCATGTTTAATGATTGTCACTATGTGTTATGAGAATTCCCTTATATCATTTCCTTTGGGAAATTTTGTGTTGGTTTAAAGGATGAAAATGTATAAAACAGCAGCCTCTTTAAAAAAAAAATAATTCTTTGGGAAAAAATCCCTGCCACCACAGAACCAGGAATTCCATTATATCCTCCTAATTATATAAAGAGCAGGAAAGTTAGAGATTTACTAGACACACCTACCCCCAAGGATGATACACCTACAATCCAGATCCAAAGCCTGAGGCCATTAAGGGCAAGAGTTCAGTTAATAAGTATAAAGAAATCAGAATGTTATGGTATAATGGAAAATGACATTAGGACCTTCCCCTTTGGGAGCCTATGAGGGGAAAAGACCCACATAGTAAGACTAAGACACAAAGGGACACAATTAGGGACCAGGTCGGTGCTTATCCCCTTTAGAAATAAAAATTGCTCTTAAATTGTAGTGGAGTGTTTGGGCCCCAGAAGAAGTCCTTTTCCCAAGGTCAGACATTTCAATAAGGACTTCTGCTCCCTCAGGGGTTTGAGGAAAGTTACTGCTTGCTAAAGCAGTCATTTTCCTTATCTCTGGCAGGAGGAACTTCTAGCCCTTCCTTGATGTTAGAGGGCTCCTAGTAGAGTTACTGAAACTTTGAGAAAAGTAGACTTTTAGATACTTGCTGAACTTACCACTTTTTTTCTCAGGAAAAATGCTATAATGAAGTTAATGACCCCTTTCTGTTCCTGAATCATTGAGTCTGCTTTCAATCTTGCCTGTGGCTAAACTATTGAGTACAAAAGGTGTTTTCCTTTTCAATAAATGGCACAGGCAGCCATCCTGATTCACCCTCAGATCCTGTGAGTTGCCCACCCCAAAGATCCCATACATCCACTTTGGGACCTTAACCCCACTGCCACAGATGGTCTCTGGCATTCTACAAAACAGAATTGCCCA